ACGATAAGAAATAATATTGTATTTTTAACTCATAAAAGATGATAGAACAATTGAATAATTAGTATGAAAATACATAAATGTGTTGTACAATAAACTGATGACTTTCGTTTAAATCGTTTAAATTATCAGATAAACTGATTTATAATAAAAGTTAAAGGAAAGTCATAGATAAATAGTATATTTAAAATAAAGAAAACAAATTTAGATAATATAAATAGCATTAACCCTCCGTCACACACATGAGAAAATATTCCGACCTTACACACGTTCAGAGGGAATCGCTCACCACATTGTAAAATAAGCAACATTACAACATAAACAAAGGAATCAACAAAAATTTAGTTTTAACACAAACTTACAAATATGTAGTAAATTATTCTAAATTATAAAATTAATCAAATTAATTTTCGGTCTCAAAAATAAAAATTAATTACACGAATGCACATCTTCAAAGAAATTCCACTCGACATGTAAAAATAATGTAACATTAACAAATAAGCAAAAAAATCATTAAACAATTTATTTTAATTATATTTATAATATAATTTTGTCACCAACCAACAGTGGAACAAAAAATGTTTTTAAAACTTGATTTTTTTATTTAACATAACCTCACTTTTTCGAGTTTCTTCTGGCTTTGAAGCTTCATAATTAAATATTAATTATGTTTAAACTAAATGTTTTTTTAGAAATGTGTTGAGGAGTAAATTGTCGAAAGGTATAGAAACTGATTTTATTTTGCAATGAGGAAAACAAAAGTTATTTAAAAAATACTGAAACCGTAGAGGGAATCCCTCCCTAGGTGTGTGACGGAGGGTTAACTTTAATCCATTTTTTTTATTTATTATTTGAGATGAAATTTTACTCAAGACAAAAACAAACATGAACGTATACAATGAATAAAAAATATAATATTAAATAAAAATTTAAAAGTTTTAAACTTTTTTTAAAATTTTTAAACTAAGGCAAGCTTTGCCGGCTACTTATTAAAAACATTTTCACTTTTTAAACAATATGCTCTTTTTACAACATTAAAATAGTTTTTAATGTTAATACTTTTTTTACTTTCACATTTTTTTATAAAATTTAGTTGAGATTTCTAACCGATTTCAACACAACAAACAAAATAATGAATGAGGTAACGACGAATATTGCTGACGAGTAGTGAGTACTGCTCCATCTCGAGGAACTTTTTTGCACATTAAAGTGCAAACCACTAAGCTGATGTCACGTCCCAAGTTCGATAATAGGGATTTTTGAATATTAAAATGTTGGGGAATTCAACTGCTAAAACACTAAAGTGTACCCTGTAAATAGGTGGGAGATTCAAATTCTACTTTATAATGATTACAACAAGAAATACTTTAAATTGGTTACTTTAATCAACAGTAATAAGTAAAAGTTACAAGTTCGAGCCGAGAGATTACAAGTAATCGGTAAGAGTGCTCGGAGATATCAGACGAGATGAGATCCTGTGGTCCATGGGTCCCCATAGGACCCTGCGCGCGTTGAGTAGAGGGGATGACTACCCCTTCCTTTGAACTTCCCTGTGACCAATACAACCCTGACGGAGTGTTATTTTTACAAGTTATTTACACATTCATACTATTCTTTCATTATTTAAATTTAACATTAACAATATATAAAGTTAATTAATATTTGTTTCGTCAATTACCAAATATATAATAATCGGTTTCAGTTAAATTCATTCGGAGTATTATAATTACATTTTGCATCTGTATATTTAATTACCATAGAATTATGGTAACTTTGAATTACTAATAAGATATTACAATAAACGTAGATAATTTGTATTATAATACAACTTATTATTATTTATTTTATTATTATTATTATTATTATTATTATTATTATTATTATTATTTAATTAATCAATAAATTAATTAACAAATTCTATACATGTGATTAAAACTTTTATCATTAATTAAGAGTATCAAATTATTTAACTAGTAATGAAATGGTAAACAGTAATCAATTTATAATCGTTGTTTTATAAAATTATTAGTGACATACATAGAATTAAGAATGTGAAATTCATATCAAATTTGAATATTGTAATTAAATAGAAAGCTCATTTCTTTTTCTTATAAACGAAGGATGAGTCATAGGTTTTTCCTGACGATACAATACCCTTTTTTTTTATACCGGGGACTCGAGTAAGGCCCGAGTCCCACGGTCCCTTTTTTTATTGCTACCACATGTTTGGGTTTTCCAAACGGCTTCGAAGTTCGGAAATATGTATTTCTCAAAAGGCTATTTTTTTATAGAAATAAACTCTGTTTCTTTTCAATTCTAATTTTTGTGTCCTACGTGACATTTGCCTCATTTTCGCAGACTATTTCAACATCTGTAATTTTAACTATTATTCCTTTTCAAAAAGCAGCACATGTTTGGTTGCAATTCTATTTCGTTCTTTAGATTTTTTGCATGTGATAAAATTCTTTACGGAAATAAGCAAATAAATGCATGCGTTTTTATTTTACATTAAAATTCAATTATTATATTGATATTAATTTTGAATCCTAGCGCTATTACCTAGTTTCTTCCGTACGAAGAGTTACGTAGTGTTTTTCCCTATTGGAGAATTACGTGAATTTAGGCCTGCCGTCACACTGACTACTTGGGGTGCTACTCTCTGTACCAAAAACATAAGTTCGAATGCTCATTATGCCGAATTTACAATTTAGAAATGACCAGATACGCGAATCCTCAATAACCTAAATTGTATATTGAATGAAATTCAAAAGTAGGGAATAATCATTTGATATATTCTGCATATGGAGAATATTATTTTAAACTAATTCTTTTTTTCCACAATTTGAAATTATTGCAATTTTTATTTTTGGAATTTCCACTTTACCTACATTTTAATAGATCGAAACGTAAAATATCAGAATTGACATTTAATTGAAATATGATGGAGAATAAATATATATTCACTGAATAAAAAGATTAAATAATTATTAAATGTTTGAATTTAATAAAAACATATTGTTCAAAAGTTACAGTGCGAATTGTACAGAATATATATTAATAAGAAATATAATTTGGCAGAATGTCGATTCGATCGATTTTATATTTGCAAGAAATTCAATTTGACAGAATATCAATTTATAAGAAACACGTTTTCGTAGAACTTTAACTTGTCAGAATTGTAATTTTGTAGAATATTAATATTGGCAAATCTAATTTTGGTAGAAATCTGCTTTATCAGAATGATCACATGTTCGAATCCTCAAAAGTTAGAATTCCATTTTTACCGAAAATGGATTCCACATAAATATTTCGCGCAAATTTTAAAATTCTGATTTCTGATTGGTCGATTTTAAAATTTGCGCCAAATATTTATGTGGAATCCATTTTCGGTAAAAATGGAATTCTAACTTTTGAGGATTCGAACATGTGATCATTCTGATAAAGCAGATTTCTACCAAAATTAGATTTGCCAATATTAATATTCTACAAAATTACAATTCTGACAAGTTAAAGTTCTACGAAAACGTGTTTCTTATAAATTGATATTCTGTCAAATTGAATTTCTTGCAAATATAAAATCGATCGAATCGACATTCTGCCAAATTATATTTCTTATTAATATATATTCTGTACAATTCGCACTGTAACTTTTGAACAATATGTTTTTATTAAATTCAAACATTTAATAATTATTTAATCTTTTTATTCAGTGAATATATATTTATTCTCCATCATATTTCAATTAAATGTCAATTCTGATATTTTACGTTTCGATCTATTAAAATGTAGGTAAAGTGGAAATTCCAAAAATAAAAATTGCAATAATTTCAAATTGTGGAAAAAAAGAATTAGTTTAAAATAATATTCTCCATATGCAGAATATATCAAATGATTATTCCCTACTTTTGAATTTCATTCAATATACAATTTAGGTTATTGAGGATTCGCGTATCTGGTCATTTCTAAATTGTAAATTCGGCATAATGAGCATTCGAACTTATGTTTTTGGTACAGAGGGTAGCACCCCGACTACTTTCTGGGAAAGACGGACAGGGGTGCCTTTACCTTCCTTAAGGTACCGTCCCATGATGGCGTGAAAGCGTCGGCGTAAAGCGTAAACCATGTGAGTGAGTGAGAACGTGATATCTGTTCATCTCTTTCTATCGCATGATTTCTGCTTTACGCCGACGCTTTTACGCCGTCATGGGACGGTACCTTTAGGATTAAAATTCTAAATAACAATCAAATTATGATAATTTGGTGTAGTCATGCTCTCCAGAATAGAGAGAAATACATTACTATATTGATAATTATTAATATTAATTTAATCATATTTCTCCATTTTGTTGTTATTTATTTAATTATTAATTATTTAAATATTTAGTTATTTAAAGAAATTACTTAAAACGAAATTCCCTATACTAGTTAATTATAGTGACTTTTGTATTTCTTTCAATTCATTGTTGTGACGTCAAACCGCCCTCTTTAGTAAATTCACTAGCATAGGGGATTTCGTTTTAAGTAATTTATTTGACTTAAATCACTAAATATTCAAATTAATAAATTAGATCACTGATATATATATATATATATATATATATATATATATATATATATATCAGTGAATTAGATAAATAAGATAAAATTCATATTAATAATTATTATTATAATAATAAATTTTTTAATAATAATAATAATAATAATGATAATAAATCCTAATTTTTTAAACCAAAATCATATTTTTGATTTTCGAAAAATATGTTAATTAAGTTTCGTTGGTTGAATGTTCTTTAATTTTTTATGAAGTTTACATTGTTATCTGTCGATGTTTTTAAATTTTTAATTATGTTCTTTATATTTATTTGTTTGTTAATTCTTTATTATTACAGTGGGAAATATATACTCTATATGAATACTTATTGTAGAACAAACATGTCTCCATAATATTGTCATGGATACTGAATTCCAAACAAAGCAAATGTAGAAATTATATTAGAAAATATATTCGTGAGTGAGTTCTGATATAGCTATTATTTTAAATACTGAATATAATCATTTTAAGAAACATTGTTGAAAAAGAAAATTATTTGTTTCTTAGACATAACATTAAATATTTTTTTCCTTTTCTTACGTACAAGTGAGTATAAATCCTTTTTCTTTTAAAATGTTATCTCTAGTTTTATATTAGGGGAGATTGGGGAATTGTGGGACATCCATGGGGAATTGTGTGCCACCTCCATATTTAATAATATTTAAATGTTTAATCATCCAATTTTTTTTATTTTCTTTTGTTCGTCCAAAGTAAATTTTTCATAAACATATGTCATAATTTTACAACGCTTTAAAATTACCTATATAAGCTGTAAACAAAAACCACCTAAAAAATTGCATTCAAATATTTTTATTTTGAGCGCTAATGTTTTTATTGTTTTTACAAGGATTTTTAAGATATAGAAAAATATTTTTTTAATTATTGTGTGGCATTGGTACTTTGAATACAAAAAGAAATTTTGCATCAAAAAATGAATAGAGAATACAAAGCTTTTTGTAAAATGAAGCATTTGAGGAATTATGTAGGCCATACCTTTTTTGAGAAGTTTGTATTGCTTGTTTTTGGCGATTTCATTGCATAATTGTATCAGTGCAAGTACATATTATTAAAATCACTTATGGCTAAAGTAATTCAACAAAAACAATATAATTCTATTTATTGCGATTCATGCGATAGAGCTGTTCACTTAAAATGTGTAATTGAGCTCCCGCGGGCAATAACTTGATCTGCGCTTGAACTGAAAAATCCAAGCCAGTCAAGCCGTCAAAAAATGAAAAAAAATAAAAGTCGAAATTTCTAATTTTAAAACATACTACCGTATAGAGCATAAAAATGCGCAATTTTTTAGTCTTTCAAATTTTTTTTGTAGGACTTTTATTTTTAATAATAATGGACAAAAACTGAATTTTTTTTATTCTTCAATTTCATTGAATTTCAAAACATAAATAAAACAGAAATTCAAATATATTTTCTGTTTTGGTTTAAAAACAAAATACCTATGTTTAAAAATTTTATGTTTGATTTAAACTTAAAAGTTGATTATAAATAATTTAAAATCAACCATAAATTAAATATATTATTTTTATAAATGAACCAAAAAATATGTTTGAATTAAACTTACATTTATTTGACTGTAAAGCAAAAATATTTTAAGTTTGATTTAAAAGAAATTTTATTGAATTAAAGAAATTGTTTTCTCAGTGTATTCTTAATCTGATTGTTTAACTTTTTTGGTCGTTTTCTTGAAGCACCTTGCACACACTCTACTTCTGACACTATTTAAATTTTTTTTATTAATTTACAATTAATTTTCAAATTTAAAACACATGGATTATTAAAGAACTTAACGACAGGAATAAAGTAAACTGTATTTTCTTCAAAAAAATACAAGGACCTGCTATGTTTACATTAATGCACAGTATATAGTGCATCAAAACAATCTTAACCTTGGATTGAGTTAAAAGTTGGAAATAAGATTCAAAAAACGTAAAAAGCTGCCTATCATATATAAATGTATAGAATTGGTTTTATTTTAAATACAATACATGCATAAAATTATTTTTTAAATAAATCAACAGAAAATAGCAATAGTTACCAATAATTTCCTCCTATCGTAAAGCTTTCGCGTCAAAACGCCGCGCGACGCATATTTTTTTAAACATTATGTATCTTGTTTATTTTTCATTCGATTTAAATAAAAATTTCCAAAAAACTTCTTGACATATTAATAAACAAATGTCTCACTGGAAGTTTTGTCAACTCGAAAGTTCACCGCATACTTTTTTTCTTCAAAGTTGAGAAAACGTATTTACCGACAGGTCTTTATTTACATTAACAAATAATTTTACAATTAATTTTTTAAAATGTTTTAATCATTTTATCGTCTTCAGTAGAGCCTGATACGTAAGTATATCAATTTTTAATTAATTTCATGAAGATTTGTTTGAGAAAAGTCGATTTATGTTTTGAAATTCATTGAAATTGAAGAATAAAAAAAATTCAGTTTTTGTCCATTACTATTAAAAATAAAAGTCCTACAAAAAAATTTTAAAGACAAAAAAGTTGCGCATTTTTATGCTCTATACGGTAGTATGTTTTAAAATTAAAAATTCCCGCTTTTATTTTTTTCATTTTTTGACGGCTTGAAAGGCGCTCTCTCACCTCTACTGCCTGCCTGCCTGCACAGGCAGGCGCAATGAGAGTAAGGGAGAAAAAACATTTAATTTGAATTTTCTGACTCTCTTACTCTTATGTGTTACCATGACGACCTGCAGGCAGGCAGGCAGGCAGTAGAGCTGTGCGAGCGCCTGACTGGCTTGGATTTTTCAGTTCAAGCGCAGATCGAGTTATTGCCCGCGGGAGCTCAATTATATTTTACTTGTCCAAATTGTGATTCTGATTAATTTCATTTTCTTTACTTTTTCTTTTCTAATTTTAAACTAATAATTAAACATTTACAACATTTCTCACCATTTAATAAATATATTTCATCGGTATTTTTTATTTTGAACTTATAATTTAGGCAATGGCCCACAATTCCCCAACATTTTTAAAAATTATAAAAGTGCACTTTTTGGTGAAACTATAATTTCTTTTAAGTCACGTTGAATCCACAATAGACAGCGTTAAGGAGATTGAGCTACTTAACCATTGATATCAATGGTCTTAAGTAGCATATCAATGGTCTTAAGTAGCTCAATCTCCTTAACGCTGTCTATTGTGGACTAAACCTCAGTGATAATTTTAAGAAACTGACTAATATATATGATATAGGCTAGATATCTCCTACTGACATAAAAAATTTGAAAAAAGAAATTTTTTGTGTAACCCTACTAAAAATAAAATCAGGAATGGTCAGACAAATGGTCAGGCCGCCTGACCACTTTAATACAGTTTTCTTACGATTCTGGATGGATCTCGTCAGAAATCTATCACAACTGATCAGGAGGAAGTTTAAAGTGGTCACAAGTTTGCTACTATCCCCTCCTCTTTGTTGACCCCGCCCATAATTGGTGACTATTTGAGACCATTTGTATCTCATTTTTGACCATATTTTTAAGCCACTTCTGTTTTATTTATTTAAACAATATGCAAAAAGTTGCAACAAATTAATTTTAAAAAATATATTTTATTAATTAATATCAGTTTGTTTACATACGGAACAACTTGAAACTAATTCCCGGAATTAAATTAAAATTTGGACCCTACGGGGATCGAACCCCGACGCATGACCTAACCTAGTGCCTAAACTAACTGCCCTAACGACTGCGACTACCGAACCGACTTACATATTTCTAGATTCAACTGTCTATATAAAGAGCAACTGTAAAATAGTAAAATTCAATTACCAATATTACCAATAAATCAGAATAAACTGTTAAATAATTTTTATTAATTAATTATATTTCAATTTAGTCATAATAGGTTATGTGAATTAATAAAAATTAACATTATTAATTGAATCAACAATAAATTAAGTCTTAACTTTACAATTTGGAATGTTTCATAAACTATAATACGAATACAGATTAATAATAATTATTATTATATCTGCATTTAAAATGAATTTAGTATTTAATATTAATTTAATTTAACATTATAATTTATAATAATAATGAATTATTAATGCAATATTGAAATTTTTATAAATTTAAAATTTAAATTATTAATAATCATTATAGTAAGAAATTATTCTATTAATGATTAATAATAATTTAAATATAACTGTATTTCAATTATAATGCAAATACTTCTCATAATAAGTACTGACTGGTATAGTAAATTACTAATATTATGAAACAAAATTTATTATTAATTAACTATATTAAATAATTACAAGTAAATATACATATATTAAATAAATATATTATAAATATACATTAAATAAATATATTAAATAATGTTAAAAGAATGGTCCGAATGTTTCGATTTATTTACCTACTTTTGCTGTATAATTAATTCAATAATTATACCAATTTGAAAAATGAGAACTTTTGTCAAGTTAAAAGAACAATTTTTATAATAGAATAATGTATTCTGAAATGTAAAAAATAAATTTGAAAGATTTTATATGTATATATAAATTTTCATGAGACTTTACCAAAATTAGAAAGATGTACCAAAATTTTTATAGGTTATGTGTTCACACATTTCAGAAATAGTCAAGAATTTCAGAAATGGTCAGGAATTTTTAGAAATGGTCACAGCTTAGAAAATGGTGCGGGAGTAAAGTGGGAGGAGCTTGGAAAGTATTTGGTTAGGAATGGTGAGAAACGTTCGAAAACGTCAGAAGTGGTGAGACTGTTCAGGAATGTTCAGAAATTCTGACCATTCATGACGATTCCTGATTTTATTTTTAGTAGGGAAGATATTGAGCTGAGAAAAAGTGTGGCCCACAATAGCCCAATCTCCCCTAATATTGATTTCTTCGCGAGTATTAACACTTAAACTAAAATATAATTAATTTTATATTTTTTATTAGTGGAAAGGTCGAAACCAGAGTTTTACAAATGCCGATGGCTCGAGGCGATTTGGGAACCCGGGACTCGCATTTATTCACTTCCTGGAGGAATCGATATGATTGATATCTCGGGAGAGGGCGATGCAAGACTTATTACTGCTGATTTAGGAAATCTTCTTCAGGATACTCCCAGGGTTTGTTTTTAACTTTATAATTTAATTTTTACATTCTCATCATATGAGAAGGTATTAGTTTTGTGCAAATTTTGACTTTTTCTAATTTTATGAAATCTTCACGTTTTGGGGTCCCCTGAACCCAAAAACATGGTTTGGCGATGGTGTCTGTCTGTCCGTCTGTCTGCGTAGACACAAAATGTTGTTCCCATGATAACTTTTGAAAAACATATCGGATCGTTTTTAAATTTAACTCTCTTAAAGTTAGTGTAAAATGAAGGCTAAGTTCTTTAACCAGCCATTTTCGTTGAAAAATACAAAAATTACAGTAGTTTCAAAATTTTGAAAACTCAATTTTTTCAAATTTTTAACTTTATATTATTTTAGGTTAGGAAAATACAAACAACTTTTCTCTGTAACATTTTTTCATAAAAACTTAATTTTCGAAGTTATAGTATCTTAAATGGTCAAAAAAACTTTAAAAAATCCTAAAATAACACTGAAAATCGAATTTTTTAAATGGATAAAAGTCAGTCAATTGATTTTGACATATTCTCATCCTAAAATACTCGAAAAACATACTTGTACACAAAAAAGTCGTAATTTCCAGAAAAATCACTCTCTATATATATTTTTTGTGCGCTTTTCTGACAAAAAATCGATTCTGTGTAAAAAATTAAGAAATTTTAGTATACCTATGGATTATTTTTTGTCCAAGTCGTATTTTGTTCACAAAATTTTTTTAAACAAATTATGCTGAATAAATATGGTGTTTCATTTCAAGCAAAAGCAATTGGAAATTAAAAACAAAAAACAGGTATATAATAATTTTTACAATTTGCCTATGAATCTAATTGTTAATTTTACTTTAAATCCATTTCTTTATCCTTGGAGTGAAATACCATTTATGCAGCATAATTTGTTTAAAACAATTTTGTGAACAAAATACGACTTGGACAAAAAAATAATCCATAGGTACTAAAATTTCTTAATTTTTTGCACAGAATCGATTGGCGACAACAGCTTTTAAAAATAAAATGTTTTTATTAATTTGTTTCAACAATTATTGTTAAAAAATTGGAAATTATAAACAAAAAACCTCTTCTTTTTAAGATTGCCTGTTAATCCAATTTTTAATTTTTTAATGCAATGATTGACTTCTTCATTAGACTTAATGGGTTAAAATAATCGATTATTGAATTGTTATATTTTTATTCTACTACTTTTAAATCTAAGTTGGTTATATTAAAATTATCTTGTGTAAAAAATGATGACTTCCTTGTAAAAATTAACAATATGAGGCATTTGTATTAAAATTGTTTAAATAATTTAAAGGTGTTATTTCATTGTTTTAACTTTAGAATGAAATATGTTGAAAGGTTTTATTAGTAAACTGCATAAAAAATAAAGAATTACTTATAAGATAAACAATTCTATTATTTATTTGTTTATTAAAAATGCTTAATTGATTAGGGTAAGGGTCCCCAAGGTGGCTACCCATTTTTTGAACGGCTGTAAATAAAACTTAGGCGATTTTTGAAAAACAGATGAAATTTCGACTTTCAAAAAAGTGTCCCCAAACCCTTTTCAACGATATTTCATTATTCGACGCTTGTTAGACAATCTCGTGGTAAAATCTTACGTAAGAAGGGGGATGGGGGGTCCGAGAAATCTTATGTATGGGGAGGGGGGTCAAAATTGCCTAAAATCGTCTTTACGTAATTAATGAATGGCCTCTAATTGTAATTAATTTAAAAATCGTAAATCGAAATGATTTCGCTCCAAAGACAACTTGATGTACTGCAAGTTTCTACAAAGTTTGATTACACAGCCACACAAAAAAAAAAAAGTTCTGATCTGGGGGTCTCACTATGTAGACTTTATGTTTTTTGGGTCGCTGAATCCGAATCCGAGGTCCATTTAACCCCACCAGATCAGGATTTTGACATAACCTAAAAAAACCAATATGGCGGATTTCGATACACTGATACCTTCGTACGTGGTGCAAGGAATTTTTGCTGCTTCATAAACGAAGCCAAAAACTCCGCTTGGTCCCTTAGCCAAACCTAAGTCGCGTATGAGGTCATTTAATAAGGGTTGTGAAACCAGCTTTGGGACTGAATCTTTAGTGTCTGCAGAATAGACAGTGGGGCTATCGTCATGGTCGCTCTCGTGTTGGTCGCTCTCAGACTCGTATTCATCAACATTCATCAATTCGTCATTTCTAACTGCATTAATGCCCTCGAAATCAGTTTCTTTATTGTGTTTGATGAATAAAATTGGAGCCTTTACTGTTGTCACTGTTTTGTACTCTATCGTTTGTTTATTCTTAATAGTAAAATTTTTACTTACCTTATTACAACAAAAAAAGCAATCGTTTTCACTAAGAGGTTCCTTCCATTCTGTTGGACAAGAAAATTTAGTTTCTTTTTTGTCTTTTTTCCAACGATTCAACATTATTCGACATGAATTACAAATTATATTGGGAACCCATGGATGTTCACCAATATTCAAGTCGAAAATTCCCTTGTATGTGACTCTGATGTCATCTATTTTCTTCCGCAGTGAACTAATTTTGTACTTAGATTGTTACTTTTTCTTGTCGCATTGTACTCTACATTAACCAAGTTTCCCACCAATGAAGAGCTGCAGTTGTTGGATGACGACGCCTGAGAGCCTGCTTTCTCACTCTCAACCGCCGATACTGGGGTTCCGAGTCCCTGCATCGTAGCACGTTTTCTACGTGTGTCTGCCATGACGGCATCAAAGCCATTACCCAGGGACTTAGCCGGATAGCGGACAAACTCCGTTGCCCACCGTCACCACGTGGAGGTGCCCTGGATGCAGACACACGTAAGATATAGAGTAATTCCGGGTGAATTGGATCACTAAAGTTCTTAATTCCTTAAAAGAACATATTTAGTAGATGCATCATTTTGAATTTTTGAAATTGACTTTAAATTCTTAATCAGCGACCCCAAAAACCCCCGAGTAACGAGTTTTAAGCAAATCCGATGAATTTTTCAAAAACGTGTCCGCCATATTGGATCCGCCATTTTGAATTTTTGAAATCTGACTTCAAATTCGTAATCAGCGACCCTAAAAACCCCCGAGTAACGAATTTCAAGCGAATCCGATGAACTTTTTTAAAAACGTGTCCGCCATATTGGTTTTTTGAGGTTATGTCAAAATCCTGATCTGATGAGGTTAAATGGACCTCGGTTTCGGATTCAGCGACCCAAAAAACATAAAGTCTACATAGTGAGACCCCCAGATCAGAACTTTTTTTTGTGTGGCTGTGTTATTTATTATTCAATCACTATTGTAAGAAATATAGTAGAAAAACTGTATTTCACATATGAAAGTAACTTTTCAAAATTTTCATTTGTTCGTTCTAATTTTTTAAAAATATCTTTAAAAAAGAAACCAAAATCGCGTTTTAAGCTTGAAACATTTTTTGAGGGTCAATTTAAGTTTTTTGATTCACACGTACTGTATTGATAAAAATTACAAAATATTTCCCAAGTGCCCCTAGGGCGTGTCGTTGGCTAATGCAACACGCTATGCATATAGAGCAACCTACGATATACCGACGAAGTGTCCGTTCATTGTAGAAAAAAATTAGAGTAATATAGGGACGTTCGTTTTTTTAAAAGAAAGCTGAGATACCAAAGTAACTTTTCTAAGAGATAAACACTTAATTAAAACAAAAATGTCTGAGTAAATCAACAAAGAGTGAAAAGTTAGCCATTACGCTCCGGTCTACACTACACAAAAAACTTGATACTAATACTTTAAGAATATTTTAGCTGCTTCTGCAAATCATGTTTCTGCTAAGAGGGTTAGTATAATTAAAAATAACCTTTGCCTTCAGTCCTTTTAGGAGGTCCATCCTCCTTCTTCCTCTTTGTGTTTTTCACAAACTCTGGACCACTTCTCTTCCGCTTCTGACTCTCCAAGACAACGTTTCTTAGCATTGCTGCGTTGAAACGGTCACGTCTCATTCTTCGGTCTTTGCGTGCTTCTTCTGACCAGGTTAATCCCTGGTAGAACTTCTCATCTTTTCTGGCCGCTTCTCCTTCACATCCCGTATGAGCGATGTTATGCTTCTCAGTCCATCCTTGATTTGTCATATTGACATATTGAGGGATTTAGCCGCGTCCGATAGAGGACCAGCAACCCCGCGCAAAAGAACCCACATAGCACAATAGTATGAGGTAAGGTTATGTTGAGTACTAATCGTAAGGCTCATAAGGTTACACGATATTGCTGTGGTAGACCTGAGGTGAACTAAAAACTTCCGCCATGGAGGTAAGGTTACATGTTAGGGTGTGGTGACTATATATGATAAGGCCATGGTAACCTTACACGTTAAGGTTGAGGTAACGTTACATGTTAAGGTTGATGTAAGGTTACATGTTAAGGTTGAGGTAACGTTACATGTTAAGGTTGAGGTAAGGTTACATGTCAAGGCTGAGGTAAGGTAATTATTAAGTTGTAAGGTTGAGGTAAGGTTGTGATAAGTTTACCAGTTATAGAAAATATTGAAAAAATAATTAATAAATAAATATTCAATTAAAATGTTAAGTGTGTTGCTCTTCTCTATTTTGGAAACCTGACATGAAGCAGAAAATTTTGAAAACAAATTTGGGGGGACTGGGATTCGAACCCGGGATCGGCGCGCATAAACCTATCATTCTAACTAACTGAGCTAAGTAGAGAACTGGCAGAAGGAAAATTAATGTTGCCTTTAAGGAGTTAATCATCTTCTTGGTTCACCTTAAAGGCAACATTAATTTTCCTTCTGCCAGTTCTCTACTTAGCTCAGTTAGTTAGAATGATAGGTTTATGCGCGCCGATCCCGGGTTCGAATCCCAGTCCCCCCAAATTTGTTTTCAAAATTTTCTGCTTCATGTCAGGTTTCCAAAATAGAGAAGAGCAACAAACTTAACATTTTAATTGAATATTTATTTATTAATTATTTTTTCAATATTTTCCATAACTGGTAAACTTATCACAAC